ATCAATTCATTTTAAATTATATGAGTACAGAATTATGTCTCCCTGTCCGTTTTCAATCAGACTAAGATACAACCAGGCGCTTTCGCTGTATGAAACCATTAGCAAGCTGCTGTCTACCTGGAAATCATTACTTGGGTTTTATACGGAACTGTAATAACGATGATTTTGTGCAAAAACGTATAGAATATCAAGGAATTTGTTGGCCTGTGAGAAGGTATCTCGTTTGATACTGACGCAATCCGGCGAAATAGAAGATTTCGAAAAGCTATCTGCTATAATCCTGTGTAGAATAGTCCAAATAAAACTGCATCACTCGGTCTTGGATTCATTTACTGTGAGAAATATTAACAGAACCCGTTTTTGGAATGTTTCGTCAATCCTTTTTTCTATAGTATAGAGGAACCAAACGAATCCAGTGTATTCTGTCTATCGACAGATAGGGGATATTAACCACTTGAGGAAAAACCTGACCACTGTTTCGCGTTTGCCGTGCACCTCAGTCTCTTTTTGTGCTTTCTTTTCAGGATGGAGCAATCGTTGCGTCTTTCGTGGCTGTTGTCACGGATCGTATTGTTGGACTATTGATCATGCGCGACGAACAAGTAAGGACGGGGAGCTCTACTGAACGTTTGTGACCGTAATGTGAACTCTGTCTCTCGTCGTGATCAGCCTTCGACTCATGCAATCAGTCTCAGTTGTCGGGACATACAGCCAACGAACTGATACAGCGTTCTCAAGCGAAATAAACAATTATTATTTTGACGAATATAGGTGGTACTAGACTGTCTGGTCTGTAGTATGCAGACCACATTGTACTGCTAAGTGTTGGCTCAGTTAAGTCTCAAGCTACTTTGGATAGTTTGAGTGCCAGTGTAGCCATGTTCTGTATGCGTTTTACACCTTCAGTGTGCAAAACCTTGTCGCAAGAATGAGTTGGTTCATCGTTCCGTCTAACCCTAACTAGTAACGCAATAGATCAAGTAGACAAGTTTTGTTATTTGGATAGGTATGTCTAACCCGGGGTACACATAAAGGATGAAGTCTCGCCTCGCAGACAGAAGGGTCAATTGGAGTTTGCCAACTAAAGGCATCTTTGGCACCTTTGCGTTATTCAGATTTCTGGTAAGGGCTGAAAGTGTGCTGCAACAGTTCGTCTTCTTCTACCATGCGGTACAGAGAAGTAGCTATTACGGAATAAAGATTAAGATTGGCTGTTGGTGTTCAAACGCCGATGTCAAGGCCACATTGCATGAATCTGGTGGGAAACTGGACAAGCATAGTTGTTGTCAGGAGCAGCTTTGGGTGACCACGGTCGCCCAATGGAACAAGTGATCGACCTTTGTGGACTAATTTGGTTGGGACATGTGTTATGCATGTTACCAAATAGACTGCTAAGGTGCGCGCTCTTTGCTGAGGCAGGGGGTGGGTGAAAAACAGTAAAATGTGATCAGAGACTTGCTCTGCTAAATCCCTTTGGGCTTTCTGAATGGTGACCTCGGGATCATTGTAATCGATGTCATGAAACACTCAGTGATGTGACTGAGTGTCGTAAACAGCAGCGCTTGAGCATCAACTCATTATCTTTGCAACCTTCATCTTTATGAATTCTCGATTCTCATCATAACACCCATATGAATATTCCGATCTTCTCTTTACTCGTTTACCCAAATGGGCAGTCGTGAGACCTTAATGAAAGGAATGTCTATGATTAATAATTGTAAAAAATGAACTAAAATCATTATCCGTGCTCAAACTCGGGCTGACTTCAGTCAGTTGAATCTTGTGTGATAAAGGTTTCTCCGGTTAAACCGGAAAAGTAATTATTCTTCGGCCTCTACAGATACCAGTTGAGAAGAGCTCTCGCTGAAAGTTTAGTACGGTCAGTGGGAGTGACTGTAAAATCCACGTTCCCCGCGACCAAAACGAGATCATTATTTTCTACATCACCGGTAATGCGAATGCAAGTGAAAAACAAACTGCTGCAACTGACCTCTTCAATATTGTTTTCTATTTGAAGTGCGCCAGTTGTGTATGTTACATAAGTTGGGTTGTAAGGCATTTATTTGAGTACATTATANGTGTGTACCATTCGCCGGGGAAGATTTCACCGTTGTGCATTGTACACCGTGTTTAATCACGATCGGAATGCTATTTATGTTTGTGGTGTGAAATAGTGTATTACTTTTTGTTCGATCTCAAGTCTACTGGTCGAAAATTGAATGGTGCTGTTCTATATCAAGTACGGTTATGAATCTGAGAACTTGATCACTGGAATTACGCATGTTGATCTGAATAGTAAACTAACAACTATTTCCATGGATTGGTTTTCGTTAAGTGGGCGAATGACTTCCTACAGATATCGCACGATTCTTAGTTGCACCTGTACTCAAACGTGATCCATATCATCACAGAAATCTTGAAACCGGTGTATTTTGATAGTTTCAGCGTTACACTGTATGCAAATACACACATACAGGCATGTATGTATGCACTCATACCTACATACATACGTTGCAATTTCTTCATGTGTTGAGATAAGTCCGCTACGATGCGAGTAGACGTTAGAAGCGGCATATACCAAATAAAACCGACAAACACGATCTAAGTGCCAAGTTTACGGAATCCATGCCAAATTAACTAGGTCAGTTACTCCAGAATGAAGGAGGGCAAGAAGTATTGAAAAGGTGAAATTGCATTATCTCTGTTATGCCCCTTCGTCAGTTTGGTAATAGATATCTATGGTTTTCTGACTGAGGTTTATTTACTTAACATACAACTTCAACCGTCTTCCAAGTCTATAATATGCAGGTAGGCCATTCAACTGGTGAAAAACAAACTCAAAACAATTAATACCAATTATCTCACACCAATACTCACAATTAATTGTAAGTTGAATGCGAATAATCATTCTAGCGTGGTAGGTTTGTGGCAAGTCAGCCCGTCACCTACATGGAAGTCTTGACTAGGTGGGAAGCTTTTGATTGGAGTCAACAGATTGTTATCTATGTCTTCCTTCGTCGCTGTAGGGCAAATGAACTGACTGACTAGCACTGAAGAAACAATTTAGTTCAGCCATGAGATGGTTGCCTCAATGGTAACGCGTATTCCATGCGATGGGTCCGAAGTTTAAATCCCGGACGGGTCGGTGGATATGCACTACTGATGAGCCCTAATAAGGACGAAACTCGAGTCTGGTCCTTCTGAATGTATGGTTGAATCGATGAACCGAGGATTGTGCGTGAAGGTGAAGTCCGAAGACTAGTCAGTTCAAATCAATCAATCTATATGTATATATATTTATCGCCGGCTTCCAAGCAAGCTTGGTGACAACGTAACACCGATGACACCTTATGAAATGCTTTTTGTTGAAAAATAAGGTAAAATCAGCCTCATTTGTAACTGAATTCATGTTTTCATTGTTATTGTTGTTTCGAGGCGATTTCAAAACAATGTCATTTTTATGTCCCATCTGCAGCATATCGAGTGGATTCGCGCGCATTATGACATTGAAGAATTTATTTACTTCGATCAACACGCTCGAAACGAACATGCCACATTGTATCACTGTGTGGTTGCCGCGGATTTTCACTGTCGACGAGAGGTGTTTCTCAAAGAAGTGCTCCGACTGTCTAATAAGACCTGTTTCTATTTTCGCATTCTGCCACCGTATGCCAGCGGAACGGTAAGTTGTTTCGGACACGGTCATGCATTCTCATCAGATCTGTGAGCCGGTGCCACCAAAAAAGCATTCGGCTAGGACAGGTGGTCCGATACGCGTGCCATGCAAATTGCATTGTGTTCATCTCTCATTTGTTCGAATTGTACCGTTGTTTATGTTTACCTGAACCGGGAGCCAGTGTTAATCTCCACTACACAAACATTCTTGTAACAGATAGGGTCGTGTGCACAAATGCTGTATGCATATTTCAAGGGCTGGCTGAAAAATTTGTAATTTATGCCCACATGCTAATTCTCATACATATACGTTTTACTAAATAACTTTTGAAGGCTGGCCTTATCAGCGTTACAAGCAGCTGATTCGATAAATATGTGTAAACCATTATAGACCAGGAAGAATGACAGTTAATTATTGTGTACGAGAGGCAACTTCTTTCCCCAAAGCTATCGCGGTCGATTTTATTGTGTATTGTTGTGTACTACATTTTGTTAACTAGACTGAGTAGATGTGCACAATTTTTGAGCCACGGAGAAAAATACAGAATTGAGATTGAAGTTATCAATATTGGAATCAAATCTTACAGTCCCGTCGATACAAATTTATGCTCAGTGAGGAATAATAGTATTGTACAAGGGTGCATGCGAAAACAGACTACGCTACACTGACTGGTCGAGTGACATTGCGATGGATCGCAATGAAACATANAAATGTATCGGTAAACAACAGACACAATTAGGTCGGATATGACTCCCACAAAAACTAAAGAAAAGAATACTCCAGAGGAATGGTACAAACATGACTTGTGATAATCAATGTCAAACGGGATTAGTTTGGGGTCTTTTATAAGCATGTTTGTAAGTACAACAATAGAGCCAGTTATAATATGAAGAGACAGGTCAGTAGGTTTCCGTTGCACAATTTGTATCCGGATATGTTTTGTTGTATCTCATCAGGTGCATATTACAGTTTATATAATATACATCATCCTAATAAACTGATAAAAATTACCGTTATTTAGCTCGTAAGTATCATGGTTTCTACCAAGGTAATGAATACCTCCTTTTATACAGGTTGTAATTGTGAAAACACAGCGATGCCGGTACGGGTGGAAATAAGCTGACGTTTCGATTACCGTGGGTAACCTATATCAAGGCGATTTAACATTGTAAAATCACTTTGAACAAGGTTACCCACGATAAGCGAAACGTCGGATTATTTCCACCCGTACCGACATTGCTGTATTTTCATAATTACAGTTTGTATAAAACATCACATGACGCATCGATTTTTCGACACACTCCGAAAGTTGTTCGCATCTGACACTATGAATGACTCCTTTACACAAAATAGGCTTCCACCTTTGAATCGCAATTGCTTCTGCAAACTGCAGTAAACGTATATTGGTGTTGAACAGGATAACGGAGAATGCAGTAGTTCAATTGAACCGATGCTTTGTCTCAACCAAATGACGTGCGATGGAAGAGATTGGTGTCTGTCTGACTGGTGACCTTTCGCCTGTTTCCAATTGATTGACAAAAGTTTCGACCCACCGTGGGACATCTTCAGTTATTCTCAGTCAAAGCTGCCGTTCAGTTCGGCTTAATTAGGTAGCCAAGCATCCACACGTGAACACGTATAGGTGTGACTTGGCATGAAATGGTAAATGGCTCCTTGACTGGGGGGGGGAGGGGCAGGTAGTTGTCGGTATATGTGAAGCAGGACAAGTTCGGCGGCATGGTATGACTGTTTGATAACCGATTCGAAGCAGAGTGCAAACAGCTGGACTAGATCATCGCCCTTGAACGGCAGTTGCGTAGCCATTGAACTGAAACACTTTGTTTAGTAGATGGATTTCGTCGCTTAGTATGTCCGGTGTATACAATCTGCGGGCTCTATCGTACATCGTTCTCACTGAGCCACGTTTGTAACTCAGCGGGACAAAGCTAGTGAAGTGTAGGTACTGGCCCGATCACGTATGTTTACGGTATACCGATCGGTGCACACTACCGTCTTGGCGTCTGTTTATCAGTAAGTCCAGAAACGCTGAGCTGTTGTTACGTTCATACTCGAAGGGAAGATTTAAATTTCGATGGAAGGTATCGAGTTGGTGGAAGAAGTTGGCAGAGTATTGTTCAGATTTACTGATTACAAGAATTTCATCAACATATCTTTGGCAGAACTGTGTTTGGCTGATGGCATCGGACAGTTTATTCTCAACGCTTGCCATAAATTTGTCCTCCAGTATAGGTTGTAGTGGACTTCGATGGCAACGCCGTCAATCTGGCGAAAATAACTGCTTGGAATTTGAAATATATGTTTTTAATGTATAGCAGGAGTTGACGCTTCAGTCCCGTCACTGGAATTTTCACATTGATATTTTCTTGATATACATAATCACAAATGAAATCTACGGTTTCATACAATGGCACTTTGGTGAATGGAATATCACATTCATGCTGGATAAATGTCGGTCTTTTATGTTCACGTTGTCCAGAGACTCGCCAAATGCGAAACTATCCTTAATATTGTATCGCACCAGCGTGTTCGTGACCGGCTTAAGTATTTTCACCAACCACTTGGCTAGTTTGTCTTGCGCAGAGTTACATTTGCTTTAGACAAAGCATCGATTCGATCGATCTACTGCGATCTCCGTGATCATGACGGAGTTGTGGGCGTGCAGATCTCTCGACGCGTGATCAAAACTAAATTAGCGTTTGCGAATCTGCAGCATCTCCGATGCCGGTGCGACATATCCCTTTCACTGAAAAGGCGTGTGTATTTCGCAACGCACCGTGTTGCTCTATGACTGCGAGACCTGGCCTCTCTAAGCAGATCACGTCCAGCGACTATCAGTCTTCGACAACTGTTGTCTGCGCAAAATCGCCCCGCGTGAGAACATCACGTGAATAACGACGAAATCAGACGACGTGTGCTAGGACCAGATATTCTTCCTTTGAGCAAAATACTTTCACAGCATAGTCTTAAGTGGCTTTGGTTTATCCTACGAATATCTGAACGTTTGCCACACCATGCACTATTCGCAGACATCGATCCAAGCTGGAAGAAACAGTGAGTTGAACAGGCTATGA